AAATTATGTGTAAATTAGATAAATTAAATAATTAATAATTAATTAAAAATAAAAATATAAATAGAAAAATATAAAAGAAAATATAAATGATTATCAAAATATATCACATGATATTTTACATGTGATCTAAAATATCAAATGGTGACAATATCTAATTTTATATATTTAAAAATTAAACTAATTTATAGTAAAAAAATAATTTAATATATTTAATAATATATATAATAAATTAAAAATACATAAAAAATAGTTAATTTTAAACTTATTTAATATTTTTTTTTAAATATTATAATATATTAATTACTATGAATAAATTAGAATAAGAATAATAAAGTAGTGATAATAACTTTGAAAAAAGTTTTAGTTTTGTAGTTTAATATAAAAATTACTTAATACAAAAAATTTTTAGAATTTTATATAAAAATAAAGCATTAGACAAAGTTAAAACTTATTATATATTTTAAAAAATTAATAATATTACTAATTAATAAATATAATTGATTTAATAAAATTTTTTCTGAATTTAATATTTTATATTATATTTAAATCTTGTATAAATTACTTATAAAATATTTTTGTAATATATTGAATTTAAAAAAATATACTATTACAAAAATATTTTGCAATATACAGTCAAATCTCTTTATAGTTATATCTATTTATAATTATATCTCTCTATTTGCTTTCTTATTTATATATAAATATAGTAAAATAAACCTCTCTATAGTTATATTTATTTTATAATCACATTCTCTTTATAGTCACCAAATTTTGCTTATCTAAGAGTGATAATTATAGAGAAATTTGAATATAATTTATAATATATAAATTATATGAATTAAAATTATTAGAGATAGAATTAATATAATTATAAATAATAAATATATATTTAATTACATATAAAATTTATATAATTTCTAATATAAATAATTAAATATTAAATAATAATTAAATTAAATTAAATTAAATTGAAATAAATAATTAAAATTATTAAAAAATTAATATAAAATTAATTCAATATAAAATTAATTATAAAAATATAAGTTGATTATATATTTATACAAAATATAATATACAATTTAATTCAAATTATTCTTTATATTATAATTATATTTAATAATAGTTTCAAAATAACAAAAAATTAATTTTGTAATTATATTTTACTTTATTTCTTTGATTACAATTTTTAAATATAACTTTTTCAAGTATTTTATTTATAATTTTTTACAATATAAAATAAAAGATATAGAAAATAAAAAATATTTAATAAGTTATTTTTGTTAATTTAAGTATTTTTTGAACTATTTGTAAATTATTTTGTTTTTGATTATTTTTAAATTTTTGTAATATTTTAAAAATGAAAAAAATTTATATTTAATTATAATAATATACTTTTATAATTAACTAATAGAAGTTGTTAAATATTTTATTATATTATTTTTATTTATATTATTTTTATTAGTTTTACATGATTTATTAAACTTATATTATAAATTATATTTATTATAGCAATTTTATATATAATAACAATAAAAATAATACAATAATATTAATAAAATATAAATTTTTTATATGTATAATTTTCTAATTTTCTAATTTTATAATAATGATAATAATAATACTAAATATATATACTTCTACAATAAATTAACAGAAATTCAAAAAAAAGTATAGTAAAATTAAAATTATCTTTCTATAATGAAATTTTTATTTTTATTAGTAAATATTTTTTGTTTTTATATCAAAATAAAGCTAAGAATCTGTATTTTAACATAGATTTTTTATCGATTTTTTAAATTTAATTTCAGGAATATTTCAGATTGTAAAGTTAATTACACAAACTTTTTATAATTAAAATTTAATAATTTGAAAGTTTAATTATAAAGATTTGTATAATTAACTTTACAATCTGAAATAGTTTTGAAATTAAATTTAAAAAATCTATAAAAAATCTATGTTAAAATACAGATTCTTAGCTTTATTTTGATATAAAACAACAAATATTTACTAATAAAAATAAAAATTTCATTATAAAGATAATTTTAATTTTACTATGTTTTATATGCTTTTTTTGGATTTCTGGCAATTTATTATAGGGATATGTATATAGTAATTTAATTATGTGAAATTCTTTTTCTTTAAATTTACACTTTATAAATATATATTGATAACTAGTTTCAAGAAATATATTTAGAAAGGTTTTTATATAAAGAAATCGGGACCTGTAAAAATTTGTATTTCAATTTTTGAGATTAGCCAAATTTTCAGAGGCTTTCATATGGTTACAATACTTTGTTTATTATTCGCGGGCTTTGGTTTGAATTATAGCCTAATTTCTTAATGCTGGCCAAAATCCAAATTTTTGATATTACATAAATAAATTTATGAAATGAAATCAAAAATTTTCCGCTACTTGAAAGAAATATGATGAAAATTACTTCATTATCTGTTTCCTTTTCTACTAGAAATACATTTCATCAGATCCTTATATTTCTTTGCTTTTAAGTAATCTTTGCCAAAATTTAACAACAATCTAAACACTCTACTCTCCATTTACTATTTCAATACAACAATATAATACTCTCGAAAGAACTGCCATAAAACTGAAGCAACCAAATGGCTATCTGTCATTCACATAGAATGATTACAATATTTTTGTTTGGCTTTAATTTTCAAGAACCTTGTGTGAAATAAATGTACCATTCTTATGTTTGTTTCAGTCCGAGCCAACACTTCCAGCTGTATCATGAGTTTCTGAGTTTCTAGACCATGAAGGTAATGTTGGAGAAGTATTTGTGAGTGCTGATTATTAATGACGTCTCATTTTCACAAAGTGGGGTGTTATTTTGAAAAAAGAAAAAAAATGCTTGTACGTAATCTCTTATAGTTGATATACAAATTTTATGCACCGAATCATAAATTATGTGATATCTCATACCAATACATGTATTTACAAAATAAAGGCGGAAAAATAATGCGTATTGTGAACTAATGGGCAATCTACAGATGATTGGACTTGGAACATAACGATAATAAAATTTATAAGTAAATAATTTATAGCAGAAGAATGCAAATCAAGTAATAATAAAAAATAGATAATAAAATAGAAACGCTACGAAAAAAGCTAAATACGCAAAATCTACAGGAATACATAAAATAAATATAAGTACAGTATAAGAATAAATTCAAAAAGATTGTACACATAATCAATTATCTTCAAAACTTACAAATAATCCAAATAATGTCATTAAGAATGGCTCGAAATGTATCTTGACGACTTCCAGGACGTGATCGTGATTTTGATGTTTTAATATGAGGAATTTGCTCAGCGATTATGTTTATCGAGTCGTCGTCTTCTGGTTCCTTTAAAATGACAACTGTTGGTTTCTTTACTTGATCAAATGTTTGATAATTCATTTTGTTTTTTGATATTTTTTTTTAAAAGTGAAATGTTTATTGCATTAACTGCCAACTCACATTGTTATATTGTTTATATGGCCAGTTGTTGTCCAATCTTAAATTCGCATGTCAAACATTTGGTCAAATATGAACAAGATTAGGTATCTGAATAAGATAAATTAGTATAATTCCAAGCACACGAGAAAAAAACATAGTATTGGCTATTTTTCAGCATTTTTAGCAATAGAAACTGCTGAATGTGGATATGGAATCGGCCAAAATTAGGATATGGCTAAGGGTGGAATTAGTGCCAAGGGTAAGATCAGCGTTAGTGTTGACCAAAGATTCTAAATATCGATATTCACTAGATGGATTCCGAATCCACCAAATATCACCAATCACACTTGCAACATAAAAATACTTGTATATTTCTTTGATCGGTTTATTTAAATATATGTTTGCTTGAAATATCTCAAGAGAGAACCAATATATTTAGAAAGAATTTTGCTTTATTATTCTGCTTTTATCTGAACTAAAAACCATCAATAGAGACGGCTTATTCTCTAATAATTTTACATCTTTGAGAAGAATACAGTGGCACCCACAAGAAATGGAACACTCGATAAAGTATTTTTATCTCCGAACAAAAATAAAAAGTATAGTATTTATTTTAAACCTCGAAATCTCTAATATTTTTTTAAATAATTTGAGAACAGAGATTATTTTAGCCATTTTTATGAAACTGAGTGGTTTAAGTCGAACTTTTCGATTAGTAAATTTTGACCTACATCACATTTTTTTTAAGACAAAAACCACTAGTTAAAAATGTTCTACCCTAAAATCTACCTATCGCTCATGCTCCTAATTAAAATTTGAATTTCGGGATCTTAAATCAATAAATTTTGAGCCAATTTTTAGAGTAGGACATTTTTAACTACGTACGTACGTAGTGGTTTTTGTTTTAGAAAAAAGTTATGTAGGTCGAAATTTACTAATTGAAAATTTTGACTTAAAGCACTCAATTAGTTGTTCTCAATCATTTTAAAAAATATTAGAGGTTTCGAGGTTTAAAATGAATACTATACTTTTTTTTATTTTGTTTGGATTAATATTAATGGAGATAAAATTTTTATCGAGTGTTCCATTTCTTGTGGGAGTTGTAGGAGCCACTGTATATTCAATTTTTTCAATTGATAGAAAGAATAAGGCTTTGTACTTTCTTTTCTTGGCTTCTACTGAATTGGTAACGCGAGACAAATAATCTAAAACTTTTAAAAACGGAGTAAATCGAAATTTAAACTAAAAAATCGTAGTTAACGTTAAGTGCTCTACTGGGAAATTTGGTACTTTACACAATACGAGGATACTTTTGACAATTTCACTGACATGGTTACTGGCTTCCAGTACGAGTTTTAGTGTGTGGAAAACGTTTCTCAAGAGAAAAATTTGCATCGTATCACAAGAATATTCTTTGAAAAAAAAAAGGTTCAGATTAGATGTCGTCGTTACTGGAATGCGTATATGTACGTACGCACATGTATTTCTGACTGAATTAAAAATCGATTGTCTAGAATGTACATGTACAGTATACATGTACGTACTCTTCCAGCCGAATTTACTACCGTTATGTATGAAACGCTCGTTGTAATAGCGCGCATTGTAAAATAGGATTACCGTATTGTCGTTACTAGTTTTACTGTACAGTATTTTCAATTTTAATCATTCTATAAACCTTTTGAGTAGCAAAAGAACTCATTTACAAATGTACATGTACAGTATTTCGATACGTCGATATATTGTATACGTACGTACGTATAACGATAATATTGTAAAATACATGTAATATTATTTTTTCGATTTTTCGATTTTGTATTTTACGTTTATGTTCGATGAAGAAAGATTTTTTAATCACCAACATTTATCCCTCCTCTGTGATTTCAAAATAGTTTGGCCAAAGAGAATTTTTAATTTGTTGTTGAATTTGACGTTGCTAGCTAACGCTAAGATTACATGTACAGTATAATATCGATATAGTTTTAAAGCTTTAAATAAATTAATACATGTATCCAAGATCATAAAATAAAATAAAATAATAAAATAAAATACAGTGTGAGGATACAATTTTAATGATGTGAATAATCAAGAATTATTTCCGCTTAATCTCGCCGCTTTTTTCTTTTCCCAACAACTTTTAATAACAGACTTTACAATTTGTTCGCCTTCATTCCAATTTTGTCTTGCCAATTTAACAACAAGATCAATTTGATCAGGTGTATAAACGAAATTATTGAACCGAGTAAATTTCTCAGTACTAGGCACGAAATCCTTATCAACTTTTTCGTTCGGCAAGAATGGCATATAAATCAATGTTGATTCATGATTTGCGGCAGGTGTATAATCATTGTCCGTCTTATTCGTTGGAATATAGTCGTAGACTTCTATATATTTGCTCTCTGGAATTCCTTCACGTCTTACGCGTTTTAGTCCACGACGCAATGTAAATAATTTTTGTTCGCCTTCAAAATACTTATGATCAATTGTTTGACTCGACGAATCAATGCCAATTATAATGTCGATTTTGCGTCCAAGGTGTGTAAACGGATAAAGTGGGAGATCATTCGAAGCCCCAGCATCCACGAAATCGATTAATGGTAATGTGTGCACGCCTGGTGTGTACGGCGGCGGGTGCAAATGATAAATGAAGTTTCTATCGGTGGACTGAGGTATAATCTGATGTCCTTCAAATCTCAATTTTTTTTCTTTCCCTGCTTTGTCAAATACCTATTATAATGTTATTAGAAGTGTCAATCTAATATACTGAAGTTAGATAACCTACTTCCGCATATAAATTTGTCCAAGTTCTTTTGAGCCATCCCTCAGGTAAGAAAAGCTCAAATTGTTCAATATCTTTACTGAGAGGAGCTGCAGGCGCAGAACCAAACACGCTGTTATAATTAAGAAATGGTAATTAATCATAGAGTTTTGTAAATATATTTACTTTATAATTTACCCAAAGAGCAGAGAAAAATTTCGCTCTGGCAAACGTTCCAAGCTTTTTCCTGCTTCAAATCGCCGCCCAAAAGCCCAAGTTGGAACCCATGCTTCATAATAAAAAAAACTTCAATCTAATGGACGTTCAGTATAAAAAAGGAGCAGAATAAAAAATTATACCTGGATATTCATCACATCCAATTTCAAATGGTGTAAACTCAAACCATTGAAAATGGTCGGTCTTTTTCTCGTGTTCTTCTAAAATTTTTTTAGCATCAAGTAATGTGGCAGCTTCTTCGAACGTCAAAGAGTGTTTCCAGGGGCGAAAATGATGGATTCTAAAAATTTGTGTATATAACGATAAGTAAATGCAAAATGTTATTAAAAAGTACAATAGAAACTTACGTGGTATAAATAGGCATCGGATTCTTCCCGCCGGCCAAAAATCTTTTTTGTGCGCTTAATTTGAAATCTTGATATTGATTCGTAGATTCTTCACCAAGTAAAAGACGAGATGCAAGTAATGAGCCAAAGACGTCAATAATCCTACACTTAAGATTCAGTAATTTTTTCTGTGCCAATCCACCAAAAACAAGCTCAACAGCAGTTTCAGGAGAATTTGTTCGAGTCAATGTTTTCAATAAAGCATGCGGATGGTAAACTGGAACATTGAGTCGTTTCTTAAAGTGATCGATCAATTCTTGGAGAGGGTTTTCGGTATCTGCAATTACCGAAGTGTATTGTGCACCAATATTCCAGCAACTGCCGCTTACACCTATCAAATATAATTCATATTTAAAGATCTTACGTATATATTTATTTAAAATAAAAAATATTTACCTGAAAAATAGGTTCCAAGGTCCCATACACCAGAATCTTGAGCTGCTCGAAGATAGCCTATTCGAACTCACATTTATTACTGCTCTTGCTAAGAATTAAAGGTTATGCACATTTATAATGCGTACCTGTGGTTGCAATCATTGCCCGAAATCCACCACCACTTCCACCAAAAGCTATTATCGGAATATCACGAATATCAATCTCATCTATGTCAACATCAATATATTTGGCGAATTTCTCCCGCATAAACTCTTTGCGTTCTAGCACAAATTTCTTTTCTTCGTCGCATATATCCTGTGATATTCTATGGATAATTGCAAAGATAAGAAAAATTTTCAATGGAAACACATAAAATATCACGTCCTCTTATTTCACCAACCTAACCGTTGCATCCCAATCCAATTCAGGATACCGAATTTTATCGGTATTCGTCATTTTCACATGTTCGTCAAGCTTATCAAATGCATGGGCTAATTGTTTATTCTCACGCAATTTCTCGGGGACCACTTTATGCACAGCATCTTCGACATGGTCCAACGCATTTTTATACCAATTTTTCTTCGAGTCGATTTTCAATGTTGTGATCGTCGCAGCAGTCGTCGTTGCTGTCGCTTCTGAAATTGAAAATTCTCCAAAAGTTTCGGAATCGACGAAGACTGCTGTTGTTGGAGATATCGGTTTTGATTCGATTGGAAAACTATAAAAATGGAATCTCTCTTATTAATTAATTCATTCGAAAGACGATATATTTCTTCAAAATCTGATCAATATCAAATATAAATGCTCGTACCTTTCACCATTCGTTGGTTCCATTGATTTTAGATTTTTTTTACTTAATTTGTTTCGGTTTTTACTGACTAATATAAATCTTTGAATTTAAAATCAAAAAGTTTATTATCGTTATCATCATCTTGTGCTGTTGACAAACATGACATGCATTTTGTACATGTACATGTATTTTGTTACATCCGCTGATTTTCCATTACCGTTACGAACTCGGATGTTTCAGGTACGTAATCAATTTAGGTCGCAATTAGATAGAGTCGAGTCATATTCCAACATAAAGAATAGATTCTCAATAATATGATTTATTTTTAGAACACAGATATAGCGATAAGGGTTGGAACCGCCTAAAACTTTCTTTAACCGTCGTGTCTAATTCGGTTAGATGATCGTCTCGAAATCATGGCGTCATTTTTAAACGGTTAGTTATTCGAAAATAAAATAATTAACTCCATAATACTTATAAATTTAGCGGTAAGCTGTAAATATTACAAGTTCGGTTAATACGTGCCAAGTTCAATTTTAGAATTTAGCTGACTATTAAAATGCTTTCAACTTTTAGCAATTATAAAAAAAGGTTTGAATACTGTAAATTAGACAGAAATTTCACATACAAACCCTACAATCAATTACTGGAAATCTAAATTTTCTCTATCTTAAAGTTTTCATTTTTATTAATAATATTTGGTATTTTTATGTAAATAAAGAGAATAGCATAATTTCCAGATTGTCATAGTAACTAGAATTTTTATGATTGCCAATCAACTTTTTATTTAGGAATATTGAATATTCGTCCTTGCCGCTACTAAGATTGGAAAGGACAAAGGAGATGAAGAAGGGTAAAAATCAAATAAGCCAACTAGTCTTGTTCAAATGCCAACTCTTAGTCCTATCCAGGAAAAATGAGGATTTAATTTAAATTCTCTAATTAATTTGACGATTTTAAATTAAATTAAATACGGTCTATAGATATTATAATGTAAATATCTAATAAAATCTTACTATGTTTAATTAATAAACTTTTTAGGATGTGTATGCAAAAATTAGAAAAATTTAGTTTAAAGATGCTCTTATATAAGAAATTTTGATTCTTTCCGAATAGAATTGTTTCTCAAACTTTGATATTAAAAATGCCATATTAGGTATATATTAACATAGCTATATGATATACTACGAATGAATTTCTAATTAAAGTAAAGCGCACATTCTGTGTTTTGTATATAATACCGCTGTATTTCTAGAGTGTTTCTATTATAGAATTTAATAAATGAGTTAAGGAGATAAGATATACATGACTGCTATAATATAAAATGTTACTTTGAGATTAGCTTACACATATCATATCATATGATATAGACGGTGTTTTATCACCGAAACAATTTTTAGATAAGATCGAAATTCAATTTACCTAAATGATGGTTGTCAGTTACGTAGTTTACGTAATTCTATTTGAATTTCATTCATGATTATGCGTGTATGAATTTAGAATTTACAACGTGAAAAATAAACAAAAATCTCATTTATTCGCGGCGCATTCAATCCGTAAGCTAAGAATAAACGCAGAGATTCGGCATTAATGTTCCGATTGATCTCAAGAATGTTATGTTATGACGCGACGAGGCAAATATCAGCAAAAAGATCGACCTTAATGGATGGTACTCACGTTATATCCAAAAATGGTTATAAGATAAAAACGATCTGGTGACACGAATTCGAAGTAAAAAATTCAAAAAAAAGAGAAACTTACATACAAAGTAATAGAACAATGAATAACAAAAAATGTTTTCATTAAAACGCGCAGCATAAATAATGCGCCAGCTAGTAAAAAATAATTATTGGTTAGTAATAAATGTGGCTAAATTTGGCGAATAATTTAATCCATACTATTTCAAGTACATGTATTTATTTCGCGTGTTTATAATCTTGCAGTTCTTATCACAATTGTTTAACAAATAAAGATTGCTAATGTGGCGGCTGTGAGCTGTAATGCATGCAAATATATTGTTTCTGTAAAGAAAGCATGTATGGATAAATTCCGGGTTAGTTTTCTTTTTCATTGTTGCTTTCGAAACAGTCAGCTGAATATATCCTAACCGTTTAACCAATGATTAGCTTGTTTTAGAGATTTCAAATATTTTTTGCTGATACTCTTGTTCGGTATTTTCGGAGGCACAGATGCATTAAATTTCCTTTAGAAAAACAAATCTATGAACACCTTTATGTTTTACCAATTCTAGAAGAAGTTTAAATTTATAATTAAATTTATCTTTTCTTTATCATAGTGATCCGGAAAAGCATAACGATTCGAAAAAGAATAATGTGTCAGGGGAAACAATTGCATTTCTTTATCTTTATCATTCTCGACATATGCAAGTTAAAGAAGTTTAGCCGCTACGACGTCGGACAGGTCAGGTTTCACTGATGACACACTACTTTCTATACATAATCCATTTCTTATTTTTGACGCATAGAGAATCTGGGTTTTAAATGAAATATTCTTAAAATTTTTACAAATTTCTAGTAGTCCAAATTTTCTATTTAATCACACGTCGTCCTGATGCTGAAAATTCTCCATGGTGTGAGTAGACGGAAACTTCCATATTCCCTAATCAATTTGAATCCTAACTATAAGAACAGCAACAATTATTTTCCTAGATCATTTCAATCTTTATCGTCTCCTAAACTAAAAACACGAAATCTAACGAAAATAAAAGTACAACTTTTTTCCCGTAAATCATTCATCTTACATCTCAATGGGTAAAAATTCGCCCGCCAACAAACATGTTTCTAATGAGGAACTGATCTCTAAAATCAAAACAAAACGCATAGAGAAAGCGGTATCAAAAGCAGTAAATAAACGCAACAGTATAACACTTCCATCCGATTTTGATCCAAAAGTGATATATAAGCCACGCTTTGGTTTAATAGAATTGATTTGCACCACAAACAAAGCACGCATCTCATCAAAACCTCCTAGGCCCCTGAATAGTTATTTCCTGCTCAAAAAGTGCTTACTCCTAGAATTATGGGGGCGCAAATTAAAGCCAACAATGCCTGCAGCTTGTATACTAGCTAGAGAACTCTGGGCGAAAGCACCTCCAGAAGCTAGAGAAATCTATGAAAAGCTCGCTCTTCAAGCTCAAGCATGGCACCATAAAACGTTTCCGGATTATGTTTTTGAACCCAAAAAGAAGCCACAATGCAAAAACAGACCCTTCCCTGAAGGTAATAGTACGGGAATGATGACAATGTTTACCGTTGAGCCTCGACCTCAAAAAACTCTTGGATTAGGGAATGCACCAACATTCATTTCTGATGTCGAAACTACAGTTTCAGCTGCTGCTTCGTTTCCTTCTCCTACTTCTGTTGAAGCAGTTGCTGAAATCTTCGGATCATATAAAACCTTCGAGCATACTTCAACCGCAGCTGTAGAAGGGTTACCCATTTATCCTCCTACCTCTGTCGATTTTCTAAACTTTAAATTTCAAGGAATACAATTAAATTGGCAAGAGAACAGTAAATCTCAAAATTTACATGATGTGTTCCTAACAGAGCTCCCACCGGCTCTTAATTGTCAAAATCTAATGTCAAATGATATTAATATTTATAAAGATGACGAAATTTCTGTTCAATTCGACTATCCTGATATTCCTGATATTGAGAGTATCTTTTTGTGAGTTTTTGGAGGAAAGATCTATTATTTATTTCTTTATATATATTAATTTTAAGTTTTATGTTAATTATTAAGGTTATATATTAGTATGAAATAAGAAAAAATTTTTACTATTCTATGAGATATATATTATATATAGAAGAAAGAGTGTAAGAAACCAAATTATTATTACATTATTAGCATTACTATACTAACAAGAAGAACGATAAATATAGCTTTGTAATATTAAATAAAAATAAAATTGGCCAAAAAACTTTGTTCAACGTGAGTACGTATCGGTATACTGTATTTAATCAAACGATTCATTTCTAAATACGTATGAATAAGTTTTATTTTCGTGTAAATTTCACAACGTATGATGCACAGCAGGGTTGGTCCAAACTGGACTTGTAAAATTTTTAAGTTCAGTGGTCCAATAGCGCAATACTGGACCAATTCCAGTTGAAAACCCCTGGTGCAAACTATTCGGATTTTTTTACATCAACGTTAGAATGATTGAAATTTTATTTTACAAGCGAAAAATTAATACAGTAATAATTTTTTTAAATTGCATCTCCAATAATTTGAGGAAGAGTGATTTACGATTCCATCTTGTTCTTCTTTCAATGAAAAGTGACTTTTGTTATAGTGCAAAGATTAACTTTTTCAACCTTTGCTTTTAAACATTCCAATAGAATTGAGCTCAGGTGAGCAAGCCAATCAGTCAATCATGTGAATTTTATTGGTTTTGAAATGTCTCGTACATTGAAACATTGTCTTGCTGGCAAAGATGATACCAACCAATTTTTTCACATTTGAAACGTGATTTCAAAATATTGACTTGCGTTCATAATTCTAGTAAAATTAATCGAATTACCGTATATCTCCGAAAATAAACAACCCTCGCGAATAGCTCCCTATCTTTTAAACTTCTAAAACGTGTAAACACCTAGCTCCGAAAATAAGCTACCCCTATTATTATTATTATTATTATTATTACATTATATCGATATTATTGCTGCATTATTATGATCACATTATCATATTATCATATTACGGATTACGGATTAAACAAAATGCTCATACAATAATTATGCTAAAATCTATAAATTAATTTTCATTCTCACTACGAATTCCTCCCTATAACGTGTTTAACACCCAAAACCAAGCTACCACCGTGTTTATCCAGCCTAAAATGCAAAAAGTGTAACCGCCAAAAATAAGCTATCCCCTATTTTTTAGGTCTACAATCGTGCAAAAAGGGTAGTTCATATACAGTGTGCTGAAAAAGGTACATTTTATATGGATGTTTAACCATTCCTCTACATGAACACATCCGGCATTTCTAAACGGTTGGAATGCTATTTCTTCAGAAAATATAGTTCGAGACCTGTTATTACATGTCGATACGCTGGTTTTCAAATATTTGTCACAAGCCCTTACAGCAGTGTTTAAAATTGACCAACGCGCACAGGTATTTCTCGAGTAATCTACGAGTTTCTCGGATTTTCCGCATATTTCATGTGTGCGCATTTTTTCCATGGGTCTCAGAGGTGATTTTAACTGTGCAGCCTGAAGATTATAATGCCCTGCTAGTTACTCTCCAAGGATATTCACAGTTAGCCAATGGCACAGAATGACAGCATACTGTTTTTAACGAGAAGCAAGAAATAGCCAAAAAAAAAAAGTTAACGTTAAGTGATAACGATAACGATAAGTTTAGATAATCTTCGCAGATCGCACATACAGAACATGTAAGTATTTGCACAACGATACATGTTCAACTTTTTTTAAAAATGTGCATGCATGTATATGAGCATAGCAGGCTTAAATCTGATTGGTTGATCTTCAAAATGTAGTGAAACTTTAAATGGATTGGCAGACCAATTTTTTCGACTTGGTAGTATACGTTATATTCTATAAACCGTTAAAGTAATTTGAAAAAGGTGAAGTAATTTGGAAGTTAGCTATAGAGGAGTTTTTGCAATTTGGTACTTCAGAATTAGAATTTCGACAAAATAAACTATACGTATATTAGTTTACTATTTTATTTTATAGATGTTGCCTGTTGGTGAGAAAAAAGGTAAGAGAAAGGCAGAATACTGTGACCTGATGATGACACTTCTGTAGTATCTAATAAAGTGACTCTACCAGATATTAGCGAAAATTCAAATTTAGTTGGCAAAGCATTATGCAGAAAACACTATAACAAACTAATTGTTAATGCTAAAAAAATTAAAAATGATCTACAAAATTAGCCAATCACAAAGAAAGCCCGCTAAGCTTTTATTGATAACAATATCTTATGCACAGTCAGTTTAAACAAACAAAACAAAAAAAAAAGCCAATCGCTAGTGCTTAGCAATTGGATTTAAAATAGCCGGTTATTTTTGACCCTATTGCATAAATATCAGAAGAAAGCCTTACAGAAAATTGCATGACATTCAATTTTATAAATTGAATCGCAAGTGCTTAGCAATTGGGCTTAAAATATTGATGTATGACATCGCAATTTTATCAATGGAACGCAAGTGCTTAGCTTTTGGGCTTAAAATATTGATTTATGAAATATATACAATCAAAACTCGATAACGATGACAACCCAAATCACTTCTAATAAAATCTCGATACTATAACGAGTTTTATAATAAATTCTCGATATAACGATATTTACAGAATTTTTTACTAACTATTCTCAAGTTTTGACTGTATATACATATTGCATAAATAGCCTTTATGTTTGGTTTCAAAAAAATAGATGACTCCTCAACGTCAATTGATATATCTGGAAATCATCCATCCCAATTAGTTGCTTTTAGTCCAGATGGGAGAAGAATAGCAAAAATAGCTAACAGTATGAAAAACGTCATCTGAATAAATACGTAGTTTTTTCTCCTTTTTTCTAGATCTGACCAAAATTTGTTTATCATTTACGTATAGAGAAATTATTTATCTACAAAAACACTAATGGTGGCTCGGAGTTGGTACAAGAATTTCCGATCGACAGCAATAGTATATTAGAAAAGACATTGAGCTTAACGCAGACAAATTATTCTATTTCATTAGCAATATCAAATCGAAAAAATAAAAGCATTTTTATAGCCGTGTCAATATACGAAATCCAAAAAACCTTCAGTAAAAATAATTATACCATCAAGAAAAAAGACCATAAAAGAGATCACAACGATATTATTAGACCAAGGATTATTGAATCTCAACTTGATGATGGTCTTAAGAACTTAACTGCTTTCAACGAAACACTATGCCTTTTATTAAGTAGGAACTACAAAACAACATGTGGATACATTTTTCCCGTCGCCGGTATAACGCAATTTACCGATCAAGCAAATCTCGTAGTGATGACTGGTTCCGAGTTTACTATGTTTCCGTTGAGAAAAGACTCTTTTTTTCGTACAAGAGAGATCTTTTTATCCGCAAGTAACTTATTCACTTTCACCGATAACTCAACGTCTTTTATCAACAAGTTAATTTTTACCGATGAAAACGTGCAACAGTATATGCAACCTATTCCACTACCAGTTGAAATGCAACGAATTCAGGAGCAAGGAAACCAAGCTCTTCCGTATTTCAATAATTGTATGACAGGAAGACATCTTTTTGCTATAGGATACAAGAATCAGATTGATTGTTATTGTCTTGACACTGGTGATTTAGAAATTACATTTTTTTGTCCAGAAGAAAAAAGAACAAAGATAATCCAATCTCTTGTTTGTGCTGTATCCCAAGATGCAAGTTATTTCGCTGCCTCTTTTGATGACAATGCAGTTCACCTTTACTTGATGGAAAATGGATTAGAAATCACGGAACGTAGCTTTTCAAATAACAATGCAATTATTAGGTTTATAGGATTCTTTGATAATGATCAAAAAATAGTGATTTACGTTGAAGTTGAAAATAAATTTGTGTATTATACTTGGGATTTAATGCAATGGGAAAACCCAATCAGCAAAAACGGACACGAGCATGTTGAAACTCATCATGGTCAACACCCAAATCTCCCTAATTGGTCAATTACTGGCCCAGCTGGTAATATATTACTTTTGTCAGATAGCGTTGCAGACTCGAAATTACCCGAAGCGTTGTATACAAGTAAAAGTCAAGAAAAAGATCAACAATACAATTGGACGAGAGTCATATTGGAACATTGTGGGGTGAATCTTGAATGGCACTGGGAAATAAAACCGAGAATAAACGAACAACGGCAAAAGAATCTACAAAGACAAAGAACTCGCGATTCCTCATCACCTATAAAAGTAAGCGTTTCAGACGCCAAAAAATCAGGTGTCTCAGACACCACAAAAGCAAGTGTTGATCAATATGAACCTTGGATCAACAAAATCTATATGCATCATGTACCTGAGCAAAAACTTGGCAATGATACTATATTTATTGGACAAAAAACTATTCAGATTTGGACGCCGACTATGACAGAGAAGACACAGTCCGAATCACCAATAAAACCAGAATCTCAAACAAAAACAGAAGGAGAATCTAAGTTAAAATTTATTTGGCCACTCAATGATAATGTAACATTAAGATCTATTGAAGACTATACGATACCGACAACACCTGAATCAGATTCAATCAATATAAATTATAAGTATCGAGATTATATATCGATGGATGATGATATTGATGGCTCGATACAAATATCAAAAATTGCTGATGAATTTTATATAATTTCAGCCATCAATTCAATCAAATACCTTAAAAGAGTTAGACATGGTGTTTCCCGAGCACAAAAACAAAAAATTGACAAAATAATTCAAGCAGCGCAAAACATAATCGAGGAATTTGTCTCTTCACCACAAAATATTTATTCATGGCGCCTTTTAGATGTAACAAAACACGTGACACGTGAATTAATTGTTGCTGATTGTTATGATATTCTAGAAAAAATTTTACGAACTGAAGGTGGGGACGAAAATTCGCGTCATAGTGCTATTGATGCGACTACTCTCGATAATGCTAGTAATAAAGACGACAATAAAAATGGAATAATAAAAGCTGGTTTCCACATTCCGAAACTGGTAAAGCTAGGTAAACATCGAAAGAAACTGGGAGTTCAGTATATTAGTGAAATTACGGTCGCGATTAAAGAAGAGCAAAAGGAGATTATAAAGCTTTTGCTTAAATATTATATGAGGAATGCCAATAACAATATTGGTTGGATGCATACAGTTTCGCATGCACTTCCAGCTCTTTATCAAAAATATCCCAGTAAGTTTGTTTCCATCCTGCATATATGTATTTTATAGCGAATGTCAAATACGTAATCTAGTTCATTTATTACTAGATTTAGTTTCGAATCTCTTTTCAAATGAACTATGTGCAAAAATAGTATACGCAAGTGACGATATGATACCTGAAAAATATCATGTTATAAAAGAAGTCAAATCTTTTATGATACGTAATAATTTATATATGGAAAAAACCATAACACCACAAAATAATCCTACATCCAATTTATCAAAACAAATTTTTATGGTTCCTTTGCCCGATTTCACAGTACGCCAACAAAGGAAGCACATCTTCGATTTAACACCTCCGAATTATTTTTGTCAATTAACTTATATGAAACCGAAGAGAAAACTTTTTGGAAATTCAACAATGGAAGCAGTTATTCATCATGAATGGAACACTAGAACTCGTTGGATATTCTCACTCAAGTCTGCTTTCTATTGGATTTATTTGGTGTCCTTTTTGTTTTGGCAAAAAGTGCTTTTAGATAAAGTTACTTTTGGAAAGGAGTATAGCACAAGATTATTCGTTTCTCTCTTTTTTTCAACCCTGAGTTACTACATGTTTTTTTTGGAACTCAGAAGAATATATCATTTACGACAATACTATTTTACCTCGCTATATTCTCTTTTCGATTTCTTAACGTGCATTATACCTCTTTCAGTTCTTACATTTGTGCTATTTCCACGGCTACCTGGTAAATCATGTCTTAATAATCCTAAGAAACTAGCGCATTGTCGAACTGAAGTCATTTTTTTTTCTTTTACTTCTTTGATTATTTGCGTTCAATTGGTAAGTCCATATTACGTACGTATATTGATTTTCAATTTTATTGCGAGTATTTATTTACTAATTCTTGATTTAATGATTAGATTTTGCGTTTGAGATTCATTCGTGGTGAGTTTTTTTTTAAAAGTCTTATTATTGTTTGATGTTCTGCGATGAAAATTATTAATAGGAATTTAAAATTAATTTTTTAGAATTTGGAATATATATTTATATTATAGTTGATATTCTGGGAAAGATTTTTATATTTTTAGTGACGCAAGTTATCATCGTAACATCATTTGCATATTCAATGTAAGAAGACGTTTACTTTTTTTTTAAAATGCTATGTTTTTTAAATTCATGCTATATTTCTATCTTTCTTTAGGTACTTGTTACTTCATTATGCTCCAAAAATTGGAATTGAACCTAATGCCGAATCATACAATAGTTCAAGCTCTCACGATCCTTCAAACACCACAACTTTCAATATAACGCGGAACATCAACCCATATAATCGTAATGACAATTTTTATTTTTCTTTCTGGAAATCTCTCGAAGCTGTCTATTTTTGGGTGAATGGACGTTGGGATCAGTTAGATCAATGGGATTTTTGGCCAATTAATGTTATATCTGTATTCGGGAGCTTCTTTCTTGTGACAATTATGCAAAATATGCTGATTGCATTAATGACGTGAGTATACGCGCATTTGTTTTCTCTTTTTTTTTTTTTTTTTTTGATGTTTCTAACAATGATATGCATATACATATACTTTCCTAGTAATGTGATCGATTCCTCGAGAAAACAAGGTCATCGTGGTCTTATACAAGCAAGAGCTGGAATGATTATGGAAGCGGAAGAAATCTCTGCATTCATAACGCCGGTGATGTTTTTTCTAAGAGTGATATTTTTCATGCCTTTTACGCGTTTTTTCGAAGCCAATCGTTATCCACGTTATATTTATTTCGTTGCCGATCCGAAAACTATTGAGAAGTACAAGTTGTTGCCAAAGTCAGTCAAAATGAACGATAAACGTATAAATGAAATGGAAAAAAATATCGACAAAATTCTCCAGTTGCTTTCTAAAAATGAGCAATAGAAGTTTTTTTATTGGCACGGTATTTTAAAAACTGAAAACTCTAATTTATTAGATTGAATAATTTATGTTATATAGTTTGAAAGCAAAAATCAGCGTAATTTGAATAAATTCTCTTGAATAAAAATTGAGTTGGAATTACTTTTTTTAAATGAAAAGTAAAATGGTAATTAGTAATTTTATAAAACTATCTTTACCATTTTACAAGAAAAAGAATTTTCATTATTTAGTGACTGCACTTTCTTTAATTCATGAAATATAATACCATTTATTATATCATAAATCAGAACGAAATAAAATTTGTGGAATATAATACTTAAGTTGGTTATGATGTTTTTTGCACACAAATGAAAATATCTATTGAAAAACCTTCAAGGCCTTGAGCGAATGAATTGAACCGTTTATATAATGTTTCAGGTGAATGATCGTCCTCGAGAAAGACAGGGGCAAAGATTCGTTCGATGCCATCAATTTTACTATATTTCAAAGAAAAAAGTCATTCGAAAAAGTTTCCGCATAAATGAGTTTACACACGGAAATCCATATGTTTCGACCTCGAAAGTTGACCTCAGATCGAATATCTTTCGGACGTTTAGCTGTTGTAGTGTTTCTATTCCACTAATAGTAATCTGCGAGAGTCTTTATTTAAACAAAAGCAACATCAATAAATTTATTAATTAATTAACAGAAAAAGAAATTTAATACATACTGAGCAGAGCGAAAAATATATCGCTGCCGAAAATATCCTCCGCCACGCCACAATGCAATCCACCCAGATCACGAAAGTTGGTAACTCCATCCACTCTAATAAATCTTGGAATCCGTGTAAGGTACTGGTGTCTCTCGTGAAATTGCACGGGTTGAATAATGGAACAAAGTTCATCATGATGATTTGTGACACCGAGATTGGCGTCTTTATAAAATGAAGCGTGTGATTTGGAAGGAGATTCGAGAAGATCGCGGCGACTTTAAATGGAACAATCTTGTTATTATGCATATAATTTAGTGAATTTAGATGACAAATCAAATTGTAACAGAAAATAAAGTTCTGTATACGTACTTTATCGGAGGTCCCAAAAATAGTCAGAACAGTTGTGGTTTCTGGAATATCCTACATTACTACATACGTACGTACGTAGACAAAATGGTTAGCCTTTTTTTTAACGATTTAGAAATCATAACGATAAAAGCAAAAAATACTTTATTTCATCGAAGGGTTTTCATTTATCCAAGTAAATTCCTCTTTAGTAATTTTCCATTTAACTGTTTTTCCTCGATCCTGTTCCTCCCAATAAATGTAACCAAATGTTTCCAACTGTTACATTGTATTTTTTGTGGGAATTTAATTTGATCTGTCAATTCGTAGCGACCTGATACATTCACAATATGTGTGATTTGGCGGTTGAATAGTGACACATATCCAAGCGAAGTGGTTGCTCCTGAAATTTGCTTTATCTATTATCTTTTCAAAACTACTATGAATATTACTATGTTATACCTTAGAATGACCGATGAAAGCATATATGGAATACTCATATTCGTTTTCCAGAAAATTAATCACTACCTGAATATCTTCTGAATCTTGCTAATTTATAACCATTAAATCACTAAGAGGAGTGACATATTTTACGTAATTATCAGTGGGAGGGGGTCTCAAAAATCACCTTCCACGTGATCAAAAATAATTAGCCAATTAAAATATAATAAAAATCTCACCTGGGGGGAGGGGGGTTACCTCTATATTATGTAATATATGTCACTCCCCTAACGTTAACAATAATTTAAATCTCTAGAATACTATTCTTTACCTTTCTGCTTGCATATAATAGTTACGTAAATCAAAACGAAAAGTATCAAATGGTAAACTTCTAGCCAATTTTGGAAGGAACAAGTAATTTCTGTTTCCTTGTTTTTATAGACAAAAATAAATGATTAATAAAATGTACCAAAAAAATGCTAATAAATCAGTACCTAATAGCCCGTGTAGTATAAGCCCCAATTTCGCGCCACTCGTATAATTTCTCACAAAAGTCTCATTACGTTCCAGAATTCCTATTATTGTCTGGTTTAAGGAATTTTTGATGAATAGTTTGGTGCTTTAGTTTCGACGGAAGTTTTCGTCATTTTCTAATAATAATATATACTATAGAAATATCTGATCATGATACATTATTTAAAGGGATGGTCCGGTCCGGCTCGATCCAAATTAAAGTTGCTTGTTTGATGTTATGAGTCATTTTGTAATTACATATGACCTATTATGACCGGCAACTTTAGTCCAAATGCTGCAGCCCGAGATTAGGACTGAGCCGGGCCTAGAAAAACGCCTGTAAAAAAAAACACGGATATATGTGAAAACATCTGATACTAACACTTTTTTACATGTGCTTTCACGTCTGCACAACACATGTAAAAGATCGGTAGATTTTCATACTTTTTATAGACATATCGTTATTGGGACCTGTGTTTAGACATCAAATAAGACTGCAGTGTTTATAGTTATTGAGTCGAGATTTATAACGATAGGAATTAGATAAATAGCACAACAATAGATATAGCGATAGAGTATAACGGGATTAATATAATTAGATGATTAGGCCTTCGGTTCATTCGGGACCGTTTTAGTGAGACACACTTCTATTGAGAAGTCACACAATATTGGGAGCTCCAGAATAACGGACTGGACTCTTATCAGCTCAAGTAGGGACTCGGTCCTCTACCAAAATGTTTTATTCAATTTTTCAGATTACTTTCAATTTGATGGATCTCACCTTTGTGAATCCTAATTCATTAATAAAATATTGCCGTATTTCTCATAAAACTTGTTTAGTCAACATTATTAATTCGTATCTGTAAAAATAAGAATTAAATTTTTCAAGCATTTATTTTTGAAGATAAAGTCAACCATAAAAATAGATATTTAATACATACTGTGCATTAAGCGCGCGGCCGCATTCTTCTATTGTAAAGGCTGCACTTATCTGTGATTTGTAATCCATTTTCGTCATAACCTGGATTGAAATATTTTAATAAAAGATAATATAATAAAAAACACTTTTATTATTAGCATAACAATGAGTTTTCTTTTATCTATTACAAGTATACATTACAATTTTAGAATCCGGCAAAAAAACCGTTCCTCGTTCATTGTCGAGCAGGAAAAGATCGTACTGGAGTTTTTGTGATGTTACTTTTAAATTTGGCGGTGGTTGATGATGAGTTAATTGCACGAGAGTATGAGCTAACAATGCAAACGCAAGAATGGATAAAAAAGCTTTATTTATGAAATTATTTCTCTTGTTTACTTTGTGCAAACCTACAGGTCCAGTGATGAAGGTACAAAGCCTTTAGGAACAACTGGAGTATGAATACGTTGATTTCTAAATAAAAGCATAAATTTAATATCTTCGGCATACTCTGGAACTGCTTTAAAACGTTTTGAATACGATCGCCAATCAAATATTTTCTGGATATTAAGCAGTTTTAATGCCTGTAATCATGGAAAGCCAAAATTATGTGTTCACTTACTCTGCTGCCAATTTTAATAATTCGAGGAAGATTATTTAATTACACGATTTCTGTTTAGAAACGCGTTGATTGAAATTCCGGCGAATAGTAAGCTAAAGTCAGATTGACGGGTTCATCCTTGTGACTAGGGTATTGACGGTTTGCACCATTAATCAATTTCAGTATGTGATTTGATATCGAGTTGGCGAATGAGGCTGCATCTATCACATAAATTACCTACAGATTTTGTTATGCTTTAGTATATTTAAATATTAATCAAATAAAATACTATTTTTACTTCATCGTTTGTGCCATGGATAGTTAAGACAGACATCGACTCCGGAATATTTTTAACTAAATAAATGTCCGATTAATAGAAACATCTAATCGAAAAAAACAAAATTATCTATCCAATTATATGTATCTAAATGCATAGGAGTCGTCAGCCATTCCGAAAAATCATCCTTTGTAATTTTCCATTTTATAGTTTGTCTTAGTGACTTGGTTTCCCAATAGAATAGCCTTGAGTCTCCAAATCTTGCATTGCGTCACTTCCGTATCTGTCTCGTGCTGCCTTCTATAATATCACGCAGATATGTTTATTACATGAGGTACGTTGTGATTACGTGTGTTGCTGCGTACAACAAAACTGTCATGGTCCCCTTGAATTTTTTTTATAATGGTGATATAAACATATACGTAGTTAACTTGTACATGTATCCTTTTTTGAACATTTACCTTTAGAATGACCAATGAGGGCATAGAGACTATAACCATATTCTTCAAGCACAGTTTCAAGATCATCTAAATCATCCTAAATTTTATTTAAAAATTACTATCGCTATAATTAAAAAAGTAAAAAAGGCTTGCATATTTTCGTTCGCCATCACTTTCACCATTTCCCCGAAAATCAAAACGAAAAGTATCAAATGGCAATACTTATGCCAACTTTTTTTGAAACAAGTGATCTTTGTGTGTGGCTTTTTATAAAATGTAAGTTGCAAATTTTTATTTCTAGATAATAATCTTTTCATTATTAATATTTTACGTTTACCAAGTGTTCCATATAGAATTAAACCAAGTTTTATGCCAGGCTCGTTTTGTATTTGGTGATGTTTCTACTTTATTAGTTCAAAAATGCCAAGAATCGTTTGATCCTGATTGTTCTTAATGTAAGGTTTGTCGCTTCATACTCGAGCTTTTTATCACTACGTATACAGTCGACTCTCGATATAGCGACCATGCAGATTCTATTAAATCTATATTGTTTACAATAGGATCAGCGTGGTCGTTATATCGTGATGAACCATGCATGTACATGTATTCCGATTAACACAAAGAATTTATTGTTATACATGTACATGTAGTAGTACATGTATCAATTTAGGTTTATAAATCTAAAAACATTCTCACACTTATCGTTATTATCTCTATTACTATTGCCATTTTTATCTTCTTTCTTATACACGAAAATAAATCATAATAACGATATACATGTATAACTACGTACGTACGTACTGAACATTTTAATGAAATCAAGTGACGTTTACTCGATTTACAGATTTATTATTTCCAATAAACACAAAGCAATCTCCCAACTCATCGTCCTCATCCTCCTCGTATTCATATGTATTCATTTCATCGTCTTTACCATCAGTAACAAGTGTCATATTATTCATGAAATATTCTAAATAGTCATCATCTAAAGGACGAAAAAGATCGTCCGCTATCCTACAATAATGAAATCTCAATTCTTCCAAATCATCTAAAAACTTCCATTTCTGGATTTCATATGAGATTTCATAATCAAAAGCACAATCAAAGAACTTAAGTTTCACCAAAGATTTTGAGGGCAAATCGCATAAACCAGCTATAATGACTGTTAAATCATCGCTGATTCCAAAGATTTCAAGCTCGACTAGTCGTTGTTGGTATGAAAGGATTTCGCATGTTCGTGATATGAAATATTTGCAGTTTCGTCGATTTTCATACTCATCTTCGTTCTCTTGATAATTTGCAATCAGTAATAAATTGAATTGTTTATGCTGTTGAAAGCTCGTTTCAAACATTTCTTTAATTTTGGCGTGAGGCATTATGCTTGAATCAAATAGTGGAATAATCATGTTGGTAATTTTTTGCGCTTCACGACAAAAATGTGTCATCATTATACAGATAATCAAGTCCTGGAGTTTTTTTGAATGAAATGCCAATTCAATAGTCACCGATACATCCAAATACGTTATTTCCCTTATAAATGAGAAATAATCAAACGTATATTTCGGCCGCTTGCCTAACAAATCAAGGCCAAGTATTGGGATACGAGAGCTCTCCGTAGTAGGAAGTTTTGAAAAACATATTTTCAAGAAATTTTGTATCTTTCCAGATGTTGACAAATAGTTAACACATCTTTTATTTTTATTGATGAGAGAAAATGGATTTTGCCATAATATCGGAATAGTGATGCGGCACCAATCTCGACTAACGAAAAGACAAGAGAAAAGTGTCGGAGATTCTTGTATATGGCGTATTATTTCGGCAAATATTTCGTTAGGAATATAAAATGCGGGATCATTTCTTTCTGACATTTGTTTTAAAGGAGTTTAGTGCACAAATGTCTGATCTTTATATACATCTAATTCTCTATTGCGCGCTATTAAAAGTTCCTTATTTGTATACATGCGATACAATTTTTAGAACATTCCATTCTGTATTAGTATGAAAAAAATTTATACATGTATTGTTGACTAAATAATTATGTACTAACGTATCGCGCGCGATTCTCGACGCCTAAAATGTAGTTATTGTTATTACCCAAAAAAGGCTTATTTGTACAAATGTCGATCGATAAATATTCAATTACGTTCGTACATATGGAGAAATTAATTTTTTGTCTTGATATAAAATATTATTTACACTAGTTCTAGCAGTAGTCAAAGTAGTAGTTATTGTCATTATTAGTTTTAGACTCGCCAAATTTGCATTATATTGGAGAGCATTTGAAGTAATATTAAATTTTTTTAAATGCTGTTGTCGTCATTGAGGATCAGCTTGGGAATATCGGTTTCTTGTATATTTAGTGACTGTGAACTTTCGTTAAGTTGCTGATTGTCAATTAAAGATTGAGCTCGTGAAGAATCAATTGTTAAATTTATAGATTTTACTCTTCTTGATTGTTGTGGTGATTGACTAGCAGTCGAGACATTCTCAACTGAATTTGTTTGTCCTTGTACAACATATAATTGTGGTTGGCCTGTGAGCGCTTGAACTTGCAGTAATTGTTGCTGCTGCTCAGAATTTGTAACGGGAGTTACCTCTGCTGTAGTGACATTTTGTATTGTAGCTGGTAGTATACTTGAGTGTTGGGCCAACGTAAGAGGTGCAAACAAATGAGTTTGAAAATTAGGAGTATATATAACTCGTGGAGATAATGGCTGTGAAGTTAGAAATAACAGCCTCGGATCGATTGCAGCTTGTGAAGCTGCTGTTGATAGATTAGTTGATTGAAAATGAGAAATTTGTTGAGAATTGACTGGATATACAAAAGCCGCTGCAGTTGCACTTAAATCATTACCAATCTCATTATTAATATTATTATCGTTTGCGTCATTATTGTCATTAGGATTATAAATCGGTATTTGATTCTGAAATGACAACGCATATTGTTGTAATGGTATATTATAAATGACCTCATTATCGGCGGGCGTAGATGTCGATTCTATTGCAGAAGTAATGCCACTAACTCTTTTAGTTTCCATACTATTGTTGTACTGTTGAATATTATGACGGCGTGCTAAGTAATTCATTTCTGATAAATTGGAGTAATTAACCGGTGAATCACTGGATTCAACTCTAATATATTCCTCATCTAAATCTTTTAATTGGTAATTTGAATTACTATTGCTGCTTTCACTTTGGTTATTTTGCGGTATTTGTGATTTATTTGGTGATTTTTGCGTGGAATAAGAGCCAAGGTCGGTTTTCTTTCGACGTTTTAATTCTCTAGTTTGAGCGTTTGTTTGACTTTGGTTAGACCCTAAAAAATTCAATCCTTTGGCTTTCATAATGTTTTGAATATAATTAATTTCCTTTGTTGGACTAACCAATAATAGTTCCTCTTGTGAATTGTATCCCGAAGTGATATCAACTTGCGATATTTCTTGCTCGTCATCTGATCTTTCTCGCTTTTTACCTTCCGCGTTACTTTTTGACGAATTTATACTTTTATTTGGCTTATATTTATAGCCACAGTTATTCGCTGTGTGTGACATTTTAGCTAATTGTGCCAATTCAATCCAAAATGAAATCGCAATCTCGTCATTGTCTTGCTTCATTTTTTCCCAGGCATTTTTGGAACCTTTAGAAACACGTGTAACAGAAATATCTATTATACTGGCAGAACTCAATTGTTGTTTTTGTTGTTTTTCTCGAGTAGAGTAATTTTTACGAAATAAAAAGAATTTGTTCATCGGCCTTGGTACACCTTTAGCACGCGTCTCTTTCGAAGATTGTATTAATTCTCGAATTGGCATGCAAACATTTTCCCGGATGTAAGTATTGTATTTAGTTTCAATCCTTTGGAGTTTTGTGGCAATCTCATCAGTTTCTGTTGGTTCATCTATCGTTGGAACCTCAATCAAGTAAGTTGTTGGTGATGTCGAGGTTGATGCTGAAGCAATTGATGCAGTTGCAGCGTCAGTTGTTATCGTTTGCGATTGTAAATTAGTACGTTGTGACCTTCGATTTCTTATTTCTCTCGTATTGGACATTTTGATTTCGTGAATATGAATTGAACCAATTTGCGTGATCTTACGCTTTTTATACTTCCTTGACAGTTAGAATGTTAAGCAACAAAAAAGAATACAATTACTTTTTTTTATTTATTAATAAATTAAAATATAACAATCATTACACAAGAATAACGGCGAGATCTTGTAATAAGAATACGTTGCTAAAATATTTGAAGATGTATTGTAGCATATTGTTTTTAACGAATCAATACTATCAAATAAGACAATAATTCAGAATTATATACTTGTATTATTTTTGATATTTTGAGAAAAAAAGCCATATCTATAATACGTATAACAGTAATACATGTAATACATGTACTACATGTATCCAATACTGCGCCATAATGCCATTTTGAATTGTAGATCTTATATATAATAACCGGTCTGACCAATCAGAACTCTTTATTTTATAATGTACATGTATTAGTAAACGCCGAAATTGTAATTTCACAAATTTATATCTAAAGAAAGAAAAAGAAAATAATTTAACCAAATCAAAGCTTAATCAAAAAACTATTATTTTGCTAAATTAGTTTTTTCCTCTTTAAATTATAACATTTGATATCAATATGATGCCATCGATGATTTTACCCAACTCACCCACGATCGACTTTCCTTTCACGTGCTTTTTCCATTTCGAAACCAATGATGCGCAAATTTTTGATAAACCCGGCCACAACAATTACCCGAAACATTCCGCACTAATTAAAGGGTTAGCATTAGAGTTGGAGTAAGATTATATGTAAAATTGCCTCCCCGTCATTTTTTTTATTAGTGTTAGTGCTCCAAGTTAGATTTAGGAATCTGTTTCCCGTAGTTCGTTTTCTTGTGACGGATTTTGTTTGCCGGTGAAAATCGGATCTGAAAATCACGTGAAGGGAAAATCGATTGTAGGAGATAACGATAACAGACTATTATTATAAGCTAAAAAAAAACAAAAATTCTATGTAACAATAAATCAAATTATACATATACTAAAAATTGCTATGTAACATTTTCTATATGTTTGTCGTTCGCTTCGACTGACTTATTGATATTTGTATCTAAATAGTTTCTTGCTCGGCAACGTAATAAATACGATGTGAAGACGTGGTATTTAATATTAAGCAGGATTTGTAAGATATCGAATATAGAAATGTGGTGTGATGAGTTGAATTTGGTTTTGGTGCTTGTATGAGCATTGTCGTAAAAAGCATATTTCCTTGATTACCATCTTAGAGTTGATTGGAATAAAGAATGAACATATATAATATTGAATTACCAAATTGAGGAAAATATTCAGATTAAGAGAAACTTCAACAATCAAAATCGACAACTAAAACACGTAATACGCTCATTTGTAATCATATTTTTGATGTCTTTGCCTTTTTTCGAACTATTGTTGAGTTGTCAGTGTTTGAGCGGAATTATGGAATTATGACGGATCGTGGTCTTTTACAAGCAAGATCTAGGAGCGGAAGAAATCTATGCATTATTAATGCGATGATCTTGGTTCTCGTCATTAATAAAAAAGAGAAAAGCAAATGTGCGTATGTCAGCAATGCAATCAGCATATTGGCATAATTGCCACAAGAAATAAAGACAAAAATCCTATTGATTCGAGAGATTTCTAGAAAGAAAATAATAATTGTCATTCTTGGCCATATATTTAATCCAATTTCGATAACAAATAATTATAGAATTATATAATTCTAGAAAAAAACAACGCTCTAAATTTCCCCTTACATTGAATATGTAAATGATGCTGTGATAAAATCTTGTATTATTAAAAATTTAGAATCCATTCTAATAAACAGTGGCTTAAAAAAGTAATGCGTCACTTTCAAAATTTACTATTAAAATACAATAAAATATATCAAAAATAAAGACCATACTCTATATTTCAATATATATATATATAATTTTTTAGATTTTTGCATTTAAAATATGTCTAATCAAATTTATAATATTATTCTTGCTAATAACAGTCTAATTTATTAATAGATATAAATTTTTCATTAGATTTTGTATTATTTTACTTAGAATATTAATACATGTTTTTTACTAATTGTTACTAAGATAATGCATCACTTTCAAAATTTACTATTAAAATATAGCAAAATTGAAATAAAAAATTTTGCACTTACTTTGCAATTAAGTAATTTCTTTGATTTTTATAAAAAAATAATTACTTTTAGATATATTACTATATAATCAAATTCAAATATAGTTATAACTCGATATAATAACTAATTAAAAACTTAATAACAAATAATAACAACACAATAATAATAACAATAATAATAATATTTTTTATACTAATTTTAATTATAATTTTTTCACATTTATAAGTGAACAAAAAATTTTAGAAAATTCTATAATATTCTAGAATATATATTAAAAATATAAATTATTATCTTTATTTTAGTATAAAATAAAAAATATTTATTAATAAAATAACAAATTTAATATAAAGAAACAATATCAATTTTACCATTTTTTTTTCAATTTTCAGTAATAATATATATATAATTATCAAAATTAAATTAATATTAAAAATTAAATAAACAATTATAAAATTAAAAAATTTAATATTATTATAATAATAATTATAAATAATAGTATTTTTTAAAATAAAATAAATTATAATTTTGTTTTATATTAAAAATTATATAACTAATATTAATATTTAATAATTTATACTAGAACTTCAAAAAAAATCTGATTTAATTTGAATTTAATTTATTAGTTCAAGTTTAAATTAGATTCAAATTTGATTAAAATTAAAAATTTAATTTTAATTTGAATTTTGAATTTAACTTAAATTAAAGTTCAGTTTGAATTCAAATAAATATTTAATAAGTTTCTAAATAAAATTGTAGATTATATATAATTAAACTTATAAATTAAAATAAAATATTTGCTATTAATAATAAATATTCAAATAATTATATATTATTTATGATAAAATTTAATAAATATAAAAATAAAAATACTTTAATTATCACTAAATAAACTTTAATTTTTATTAAATACTATAATTTATATTTATAAATATACATGTATATTTAGCTATAAATTAATATATAATATTATATACTAATTTCAAATCAAATCTAAATTAAATTCAAATTTATATAATAATTTAATTTGAATTTGGTTTGAATTTTGAACTCAAGTTAAAATTTAATTTAAGTTTAGTTCAAATTTTAAATTAGACTTGAATTTAGATAAAAGTCTAATTTGATTTAATTTATAAAAATATTAATATTGTTGAATTATTTGAAGTAATATTTTTTAGTGTTAAATTTTTAAGTGAATGTTAAGATGTAAACTAATAAATTTTTCAATAAAAATAATAATAATTATTTATAAAGAAGTTTAATAAATAATAAAAGCTATAAAATATAAATATTACAAAGAAATTTAGAAAAAGATATTTGTTTTTGGTAAAGAATTTTAATAAATTAAGATGAATTAATTAAAATATTTTGGATATTAATAATTAAAAAAGAATATTTAAAGAAGTTCATGAAGAGAATATTAAAATATACTATAATTATTTTAAATAAAGAGTTTTTTTATTTTTAGTAAAAGAGTTAAATGAGTTAGAAGAAAGAAATAGACTAATAAATTAATTAATATAAAAATAAATATTTAAGTTTATGTTAATTTTGACAGAAATTGTTAAATAATTCTATCAGAAGATAAAAAAAAGGGTTAAAAGAGTATATTTAAAAGACAATTAAACTAATAAGAATTATTATCTAAAAATAAAAAATATTAATATTTTTATACTTGTAGATATATATTCTAATACCTGTATTCAAATTAAATATCTCTAATTAAAATATTATAAATATTCAATTCAAAAAAAATATATTATGTTTTTTCAAAATTTAAAATCTTAATAAACAAATTTAATTCTAAACAAATTAATATTTAATTTTTTGATTTTATTTAAAATTTATAAAAAATGATTTGAATAACAAAATTTAAAGTTTAATTAAACAAATTATTTTAATCAAACAATTTTTTTAATAAAATAAAAATAAAAATAAAAAATAAATATTAATAATAAAATAACAAGATATAATTAGTTAACTTATTAGAATAAAAATAAAAATATATTAATTTGTTCAAAACATCAAAATATAAAAGAATATATATTAAAATAATACTTTTATTTATATAAAAATTCTTAATATATTTTTATATTATCTATATTTCAAAATATTATAGAAAAGATAAAAAAAGATAAATAAGAATAAATATAATATGAATAAATAAAAATAGTATTACCATTTTACTATTACAATTATTTTCAATAATTCTGTAATTAACGAATCTTTTTAAAAATAATAGAAAATATGAAAATCTTCAAAAATAGTAATAAAAACAACAAATTGATAAAAATAGTATATACA